TTCCGGCTGCTGGAGAGCAGAGGAAGGGTTAAAATCTGAACTTCAAATAAATAAGGTAAATTCATACAGCTGAGGGTTTGTTAGATTTGGGAATAGGCAGAAGAAAGCGACAAGTGAGCGGCCTGGACGGCGGATTTACTGTCCGTTATAGCTGATACACCCTCCTAACCCCACGAAATATTACATAAATGTATAAGAAAGACCCAAACCATTCTATGATTCTGGATTATCCCCCCTCGCTCGCTACACCTGAAAGAAACCTGCTCGAAAATCAGCCCCTCGGCCCCCATCCTCAGAAAAACACAAGTATTTTTGACGGTTTTTACGAGCTTTGTGCGCTCTCACCCGCTTTACACGCGCAGACGCGCACCTCGGAGTAACTTCTGCGCCACCCCCCCTGAACACCGCCGGCTTCACAGCCGACCTGCAGTTCCGCGGCCGCTTTTTGCACAAGAGGACAAGGGGGGCAGCTGACCGTGAAATCGCCCGCCCGGAGCCTGGTCTGGTTTTGCCGGAGCGGCTCCACGGAGGCCGAGAGCGGGGAAGGGGTCGATCTCGGTGTAAATTCAAGAAATGCAAAGCACGGGGCAGGGAGGGGGGGGGTGAAAATGCCTTTTTTTTCTTTTTTTCCCAAGCGATGCAGCCGGAAAGCTTTGAAAATAAAGCGCAAATGCTCTGGAAGTGACCGGATTGCAAATCCGCGGGATTTAACCTCGTGAAAAGCCGACGTTCGCTGCTAATTTCTCGTGAATTTAGGTAAAACGCTTGACGGGGACCCCAGCTGCGCGTACCTGTTGGATAAACACCTTCTGCCCCAAACGGAGCGACCGAAAGCTGATTTTTAACGATACGCTGTGCTTGACAGCGTACTGCGTGGAGGGGGAGAGAAACAGACAGCAAATTAAAATGGGAAGCGTGGTAAAACCAAGCGAAAAATGAGAATTCACCAGCAATCAACTGGCTAAGCTGGAGGGGGAGCGGGTTTTTCGGCGAGGAGGGATCGTCCCGGCCGAGAGCACCCCCCTGCAAACCTACCCCCGGCAGGATTCAGCGCCAGACCCCTCCGTGGGTCCAACAGGGCACGGATGCTGCGCTGCTTTTCCGGGGAGTTTAGCCCTTTTTAGGACGGACATGTAGTCCTTGCTCTTCTACTGCATTTTATGGTTTTCTGGGGCAAGGCCAGGCTTTTCCGAGCGACCTCCACCTCCAACTAAAGGTGATTAATCCCCCATTTAACGCTTCGGCAAGAAGTTTACCGCCTCGCCAACAACTCGCTCGGGGGAAACATCTCCTACGCCAGCACCACACCTGCACGCTCCGTGCCGGAGAAAATCCCTATCCGGCGAGATCTCTGTTCTTTCACCAAAACACTGATTATTCCGGAATAATCTCCACGGCACTAAGCTCTCCTCCGGCCCGCCAGCGTGGCCGCCTCGGGTTTTATCCAAAGTGGAAAGCAGGGGCAAGACATCAATCAAGAAATAAAAGGAGCGCCGCTCTGAAGGCAGCGGGGCCACGCTGCCTCATTCAGACTGCGCGGGCCGGGGCAGAAGGCGTTAAAATGCGTTCAGCTTTTTCTACCTTTGATATAGTTGGGTCTTGGGTGGGTTTTTTTTCATGACGGTAACAAATATGTTGTGCCGTTTTCTAAGCAGCTTGGCAGGAGATCCCTTCAGCCCTGTAACTGGGGCAAATCCTCCTCCCGACGTCCCTAAAATTCACATTTTTAAGCGACGTTTATACTAAGGGAAACTTCCAAGCGCTCCTCGGTCGCAACTCCAGATTTCTCGGGGAACGCGCTCGCCTCGGCTGCTAATTCCGAGCGCTCCTTCCCGCTGCTCCTATCCGAATCCCGCAGTGAAATCCTAACCCCGAGCACCGCTGTCCTGGCTGCCGCAGCACGGCGGATGCCACAGCAGCGGCAGACGTCCCGGGCCCCGGAAAAAAAAAAACAGGCGCTG